TATTTCTCTATAAATGAGATCATAAAGCTCCGTTATAACTATTCCGTTGAAGTTTTTAAATTCACGCTCCCGGTTGTAAAGGCGACTTTACGACGATAGACGTTAAAACAAATGACTGTGACGTTAAATTCGAGCGACGTACGATAATGGATTCTTTTATTTCTGTTATGTTTATACTTTTACGGATGGGTTAATTGTTACGGAAAGTAAATTTACGGAACTTACTTTACGTATGTTGAAATAGAGATGCACAGACATATGCAAGCATACTTTAGGTAATCAAACAAAAGAGTTTATTGAAGACCACTTATTTCAATAATTTTGTGCCGCATTTGCGTAATCTTTATATCTTTATTCACTTTTATAAGTGACAGAATAGTTTTTTAACAGTATAAGTATGAAAGCCTTATATCAAAGTTCTGTCCATCAATCCAAATATATTCTTACAAGTATAAATGTTTATAAATTAATCAATCAATTACAAAAGGAAACGTCAAATTGTGTTAATATTTCATTATTTATTCATTGTCTTTCATTTATACGAAATTATTATAACACAATATTATATTAAGATAGAGAATAGTATTATTTTTAATGAGATTTTTCTGTCGTTTTATATATAATATATTTAATATTATTAAAGACAATATAATATTAATGTTCTGGTATTATAAGAGCATTAAAATCTTTTCAAGTTTTTTCCTTTTTTATTTAAAATATCTTTTACATCACGTGGTAATGGTTATTGATGTTATAAAGTTCTTATTGTTAACTTTATGTTAGAATTACTTTTTTGTTACATTATTATGAGAATTTTAAAATCAAAATTATGAGGAGATATTTTTCATGGTTTTATAAAAGTCGTTTGATAACGCTTACTCTGAAATAATAAAGACGGAAAGGAAAAACATTAGGAAAATTATTGCTTTAATATTTTTTTAATTAAACCATTCCATTAATTATTTTTAAGGAAACAATATGGACAGGTATCATATTACAAATTAGAGTTTTAACAATCAACTTTAGTTTTTTGATAATTCATAATTAAAATGCTAAATTTCTATTTCCCTTACAATTTTTTTATAGCTAACTACTTATACACTATTCTCGGTGGCCTAGTGGTTAAAAGCCCGCCTCTCATGCATGAGGGCGCAGGTTCGAAACCTGTCAAGTACCAATGTGATTTTTCCGAGTCATATGTACTTTATAACAGTATTTAGACACTACTGACAGACGGTGAATTAAAACATCGTGAGGAAAAATGGACTTATAATTTCAAATTATAAGTTTGAAATCACCAACCCGTCTTGAGCAAGCGTGGTGATTAATGCTCAAACCTTCTCCATGTGAGAAGAGGCCTTTGCTCAGTAGTGGGCTCTGATAGGCTGATGATTATGACTTATACACTACTTATTTAAATTAATTATTACTAGCTTAAAACTTCCATATTATTAACGAATGCCATCTAAGTTTATGTTTAATTTCAAACTTTATTAGATATAGAACATAATGAAATTGTTTAAAAGCTAATGTTACATCGCTCGCTCGTGAGAAATTATTTAAGTAGAATTATAATACCACGTTATTGTATATTTGGATTTCAATACTAATGATGTTATTAGAATGTTAAGCCAATAATTAACCACATATATGATATGGAATTGTTAAATGTATTGAATTAATCTTAATTATGCGCCTTGCAACCCTAGTATTGACGGTGAAGGAAAACATCGTGAGGAAACCTGGACTTACAATTTCACAATTATAAGTTTGAAGTCACCAACCCGTCTTGAGCAAGTGGTGATTAATGCTCAAACCTTCTCCATGTGAGAAAGAGGCCTTTGATCAGCAGTGGGCTCTGATAGGATGATGACAATACTAGTATTAATTTTTGCAATATATAATTTAATCTTTCTTTCTTTCACTCTATTCTGTGACGGTCAGGTTTTGTACAACAATAAAATTATTTCTACTAATAAGTAATCATAATTTTCCCAAAATATAAAAGAATTATATAAATTTATAGCATAATAAATTCCTAGTTATAATTTATAAAAACCAAAACGATATTTATTTCTCTATAAATGAGATCATAAAGCTCTGTTATAACTATTCCGTTGAAGTTTTTAAATTCACGCTCCCGGTTGTAAAGGCGACTTTACGACGATAGACGTTAAAACAAATGACTGTGACGTTAAATTCGAGCGACGTACGATAATGGATTCTTTTATTTCTGTTATGTTTATACTTTTACGGATGGGTTAATTGTTACGGAAAATTTACAGAACTTACTTTACTTATGTTGAAATAGAGATGCACAGACATATGCAAGCATACTTAAGGTAATCAAACAAAATAGTTGATTGAAGAAAAATTATTTCAATAAATTCTGTGCCGCATTTACGTAATCTTTATATCTTTATTCACTTTTATAAGTGACAGAATAGTTTTTTAACAGTATAAGTATGAAAGCCTTACATTAAAGTTTTGTCCATCAATCCAAATATATTCTTACAAGTCTAAATGTTTATAAATTAATCAATCAATTACAAAAGGAAACGTCAAATTGTGTTAATATTTCATTAATAATTCTTCGTTGTCTTTCATTTATACGAAATTATTATAACACAATATTATATTAGGAAGAAAATAGTGTTATTTTTAAGGAATTTTGTCTATCGTTTTATATATATTAAATATTATTAAAGACTATATAATAGTTAATGTTCTGGTATTATAAGGGCATTAAAATCTTTTCAAGTTGTTCCTTTTTTATTTTAAATATCTTTTACATTACCTGGTAATGGTTATTGATGTTATAAAGTTCTTAGTGTTAACTTTATGTTAGAAATACTTTTTTGTTACATTATTATGAGAATTTTAAAATCAAAATTATGAGGAGATATTTTTCATGGTTTTAAAAAAGTCGTTTGATAACGCTTACTCTGAAGTAATAAAGATGGAAAGAAAAAACATTAGGATAATTATTGCTTTAATATTTTTATAATTAAACCATTCCATTAATTATTTTTAATCAAAAATATGGACAGGTATCATATTACAAATTAGAGTTTTAAAAAATTTAATTCTTGGATAATTTATAATTAAATTTCTGCAATTATATTTCCCTTACAATTTTTTTATAGCTAACTACGTATACACTATTCTCGGTGGCCTAGTGGTTAAAAGCCCGCCTCTCATGCATGAGGGCGCAGATTCGAAACCTGTCAGTACCAATGTGATTTTTCCGAGTCATATGTATGTATTTTCTAAAAGTATTTAGACACTACTGACAGATGAAGGAACACATCGTGAGGAAACCTGGATTTATAATTTTCAATTAGAAGTTTGAAATCACCAACCCGTCTTGAGCAAGCGTGGTGATTAATGCTCAAATGCACATGTGAGAAGAGGCCTCTCAGCAGTAGACTCTGATAGGCTGATTATGACTTATACACTGATTCTTATATTTAATTCTACTTATTTTATTTAATTATTACTATCTTACTACTTCCATAGTATTAACGAATGCCATCTAAGTTACTGTTTAATATCAAACTTTATTAGATACTAGCTTTCCGCCCGCAGCTTCGCCGCGTGGAGTTCGGTTATATCGCGTTTCCAAGAGAACCTTTCAAAAGTCTGGGATAAAAACTATCCTATGTTCTTTCTCAAGGTCAACTCTATCTCTGTACCGAATTTCATTAAAATCAGTTCAGTGGTTTAGGCGTGAAAGCGTAGCAGACAGACAGACAGACAGACAGACAGACAGACAGACAGAGTTACTTTCGCATTTATAATATTAGTTTGATAGAACATAATGCAACAGTAATTGTTTGAAAGCTAATGTTACATCGCTCAAAGCTTTACGTACAAGCTTATGAACTTTTGCTAATAGTGTTTTAATTCGTGTTTAATTAGTTATCATTTTGAAAAGCAGGACAGATTTTCATAAGGATCAAATATTTTCATGAGTATATATATGGAGTATAATTTTAAGATCAGATACTAAGTTTTTCATCACTATATAAATTTTAAAACTGACAAAAATTAAAAATTTGTTGTTATATTCCATTTGATATTTAAGTTAGTTTACTTTATTTCAATTTGTTATATTATTATATGTAAGGGAATCCTTTTAATGAAGAAATAATCTTAGAAAAAGATCTCAGTTTTTTTATATGATTATTGATTGTGGAGATTACATTAAAATCCAAAAGTAATATTAATCAGGAAATAAAAATACGAAAATTGGTCCTCATGAACAGACTTCCCCCTTTATTCTCGTGTGTTGCCGAAATGGCAGTTAATTGCTTGTCGGAACAAACCCAAGCCTCGGGGAGATTTTATTTTGGGAATTTTAGCTACCAGCGAATATTTCGTTTGGAAAAAATAATTTGGCGGTAACTGCTAACTTTATAATGATGTTTCATGTAACAGATAATAGATTTTGTGATAATACGGAATTTTTAATCCAATTTTATGTATATATATTTTTCGAACAGCCAAAATTTGATTATTTTCAATAAGGTCGATCATTTAATAAGTAAATATTATAACTATTGCATATTTGAAGTAGTATAAAACAAAACAAATATCACTGAACTTATATATGATCAAATTCCCATTCTGATAGCATCTGCGCTCGACATTCACTGTTTGAACGAAAAAGAATCTGTTTTAGAAATTAAAACACAAAAAAAATTATCAATTGTTTCCTTAATCTTTTAATTATACTGATACCTTATACCTAGTTTTATTCTTACGACGATCAAGTAATATCTGTAGTACGCCTGCTTTTTGTAAAAAACTACATACTCAGCTTCATACTACTTCAGCTACTTTTCAGCAACCGTGAATCATAATTATACCTTTTTTTTGTTATCGCGGTGAAAGGTTTTATACCTACCCCTCCGTCTAGGGGAGACAGAGGCGGTTATGTGGGATTCACGGCCAGAAGGGCCCATGTTACCCACTAAAACACCAGCGGTCACTCTCCGTTGCCGCCAAGTGGATCGCCACGGGAAACGCCGAAGCATGCATCCGCGACGATCCGGCGGCGGGCCGCGAACGGCCACCTCCCCTCCCGAGGGCTCACTCCAAGTGACCAGGAGTGTCCCCCCGCCTGGCGGGCTTGCTTAATCACGAGAGGGTTAACCCCTTACCCCTCCCACCCAAGCCCACGCGGCCAGTCTCCAACCACCCACCGACGAGCGCAAGCGCCCGACGGCAGACAGAGAGGAAACCGACCGACCACAAGCGAACTCAGGCCTCCGGAGAGACCCGAGTATCCCCTCCCCCCCAAGACAGCCACGGACGGCTTCCTGCCAGATCCGTGACCGTCTTACTCCCAGGGCTGTACCCCCAGCCCTCCCCCCCGTGACTGATTGCACCGGAATACACCAGTGGGCGATGGGGTCGTCACGTCCCGACGCCGGACTGCGCCGACAGTGGCCGAGGCCACCCGCCAACACGTAGGGCCGATCTTGGCAGCGGCGGTGTACACCGCCGAGCCTCGTCCTGTCCACCTCCATGGGCTGCACCCCCAGCCCGGGCCAAGACCCCACGAGGAGGTCAAGGCCCTTCCCCCCCGTGACTAATTGCACCGGAATACACCGGTGGGCGATGGGGTCGTCACGTCCCGACGCCGGGGAATCATAATTATACCTATAGTATAGGATGCTTATAGTTTAAAACTAAAACATAAAAATACTATATATATTTTAATTATAATTTTTAATTACATATAAGTTAATTAGTGATGCTTTTATAAAGTTTAAATAAATTTCTTGTCCACAGAATGTCTATATCCCACGTGCCGAATGCCACCTTCGCGGAGCTTGTAATCACCGATGTCCACCCCAATGATGAAGGGGTATACCGCTGTGAGATCACCTACCTCCAAGTCGGCGAAGACTGCAACACGGTGCAAGTCACAGATTTCCATACATACAGTAAGTATCAAATTTTATTTTACTTAAATAACAAGAAAATAGCTTATAAAATATCGTAATAAATAGGGAAATAAATTGTACAGTCATGCAAGAAAAATAGACCCGGTACTGCACGGTGAATCCATTGAATGCTGAGATTTAAAACTCTAATTAAAATGTTTAGGTACATCTTAAAAATAAAATAATATATTTATTTGTAATTAAAATTATAATTCATAGATTCAAGGTCCAGATGAATTTGAACTTGATGAAGTTAAATAAAATAATCGTTTTTAAAATTTACTTATCGTTAGGTACAAATAACTAACAAAATTAATTGGTGATTTTGTTATAATAATAGATTATAAATTAATATAATAAACAAATTTATATCAAGTCTGAAGTATCTTTAAGACTTCAGGTCATAACTTCTCATATCTTCTCTTTGTGTTTCTGCTGAACACATCAAACTTATCAAAACGCAAGTCTCATATTATTTTGCGCAGTGTGTATCAGATTTCCCACTATATAGGCCCACCTTTAAAAAAAAAATACAACATTTTTTTATTTTTTAAATTTGTTCAAAATTAAATCGGAATGGAAATAATGCTTTTGTACAATTGAAAGACTAAAGTGAGTAATTTTTAGATGGAAACATAATATGTATATACACACAAACGTGTGCACACGTACATATTTTTATAAATCTTGTCAAATTTGGAGTCTTCCTATTATATGTATTTAACTGAAAATTTATATAAAGTCAAAAAAATTATAAGTCTTATAAACTCTGGCATCATAGCATATTCTCGATAGATTTAGTTATTTTTTGTTCAAGATAATTTCTTTAAGTTCTGTTTATTTTCAAGAAAGTTAAATTTATATAAAATTAATTGCTTATCCTTTTCTTTGAAACAATTTCTTAATTCAATCAAACTAACAGTAAAAATCTTACTTTCATGTTAATGTTAGATGTTACTACAAAACTCACTCTAAAACAAAAATTATTTTTTTTACAGACTTGTGTTACATTTTCATTAAACATAAAAAAATCAATTACAGTAATTTAAAAAAAAAATATATTAAATTCATTTCAATAAATGTCTTTCGCTATTTAAAATAAATGATGATATAAATTTTATGCTATTATAAACAATGAAAAATACTTATAACAATGCCTTATAAATACATCACAGAAAAGAAAAATAGCTTTCCTTTATTCTGAAACCTCAATATTTATAATAAATACAACAATATAATCTTTTGTTTTAAAACACAAACCCGATACACCAACACATTTCCTATCTAGTGTCGATAAATAAACTCGATATGACAAATATCGACAACTCCCACCACTACATAAGATATTGCGTTCTTACCTCCGGGCTATACGATTTTATTGAGGTGTTATTTCCTGTCTCTGTCCAACATACTATTTCTTATATATCTATCTCTATCCCAATTGAGCTATTTTATTTGATACTTTTGTCTCCTTTATCATTCGGGGAAGACAATATTGTTAGTGTTGATATTTTCTCAACCTCGATTAAATATATACTTATGATAAATATTTTCTCAACAAACATTATGTACGTAATGAAATTATTAGATTAAGTATTACTTTTCTTGGAAATGATTCCTTAGTGAGAATAAAACCGAAAAAGGTTGTAGTGCCTTTATAGATAATAAATTAGTAGTAATATGAGATTAATTTCTAAAGGCTTTATCCAAAGTCGTCATCAGCCTATCACCCACTGATAATCAAAGGCCTCTGTCTCACATGGAGAAGATTTGACCATTAATCACCACGCTTGCTCAACGGGTTGGTGATTTCAAACTTATAATTGTGAAATTATAAGTCAAGTTTCCTCACGATGTTTTTACACCGTCTGTAAGTGGTGTCTAAATACTCTTAGAAAGTACATTTGACTCGAAAAAATCACATGGGCACTTGTCAGGATCAAACCCCTGCTCTCATGCACGAGAGGCGAGCCCTTTAACCACTAGGCCACAACTGACTGTACACTACCAAAAGTAAGAGAAAATAATTGAAACCAAATTAAAGTAAAGTAATATAGTTCAAACCTTAAATGTATTTGGCGGTCCGTGTGGCCCTTTGTCAGACGGAACAGGGCAATTAATTAAATTAATTGCCAAGACCAGGTCTTAGTTAAACGCAAAATAAACTTGTTAATCGCCGAAGGAAATAATAGCATGGACCAAGTAATGGAAAATAATTCTTCCATTAGAATATTCTTGCAAAATTGTCACGATGTTTCCATTCTAAATACCGCAAGCTTCTTCTATTTCAGTCTTAATAAATATTTTGTAAAGTTTTCCGGAATTTGTTTATACATTTATTCTTTTCTATATTTTTGCTCACAATCATATTCATGTATGATTTTTAAGACTACTATAACTATTGAAATATTTTCTATTATAAATCTCGTGTTTTAAATTTTATTGTTGAAATTGGTAACAATAGCTTAATTTGCAAGATTACATGAATGACATTCTTCGTTGTCATATATTTGAACTCCGTTAATATTTATGCATTACTTATTTTCTAGGTAATAAAGGTTTCATATTAATTTAACTATCATACTAAAATAATTATATAATATAAATGCTAAACAAAAATTTATTTGTTTGATAAAAACACAAAGCTATTACAATCTAAGCATATATTAAAATTCAAAAATATTACTTCGAAAGTTCAAAATATCAATTTATGCAAATTTATTCAATCTGTATTGAATGAAGCGGAGAGATTTACAAAATACATTAAAATCTAAGTTAAGGCAAATTTTAAGCGCCATTTGGCTCGAGTTGATTGAACAGATTCGACATTTACAGAATTTACATATAAATGTGGAATTTGTTAAGGTTAAATTATGTTTTATAAGATAGAGTTATGAAGTACGACCGACCCCAGGCAGTCTTAAAATGCGAAGCTTTTAACGGGTTATAAGCGAGTTAGAAAATTTTAATACACCCCTCCTTTTTAGTGTATTCGAGCATTTTGTTAGTGAAACGAATTTTATGCATTATTATAATACATATAAAGCTAAATTTAAGATACAATTAAATTTAATATGTTTCTGAGAAATAAAATAAAAGTAATAATAATTGTTATATATATTAATAACCGCTTCGCTGAACTTATTTTCCGTGTAACTTGGAACGTTTATCACTTTAACGTTATAGAGCGAAATACACGCGTCATATACATTGCTCGCTTTGTTGCTTCGCATCCGTCTTCCTGTTATGTGTGATGAGCAATGTATGGTATATAAAATATATTGTGTATTACTCACTGTTATATTTTTATACCATTTAAAACAAAACTAGTGGGAAAATATGTCGTAAATAAAGGACTATAGTAATGAATTGCTTTCTAATGCTTTTTTATTCTTTCAAACAAACTGTAATTTGTATTCTAAAACAAAGACAGCTAATCATGGATCATTAATTTTAAAACACAATCACTTCCTCGCCACTTTCCCTGATCTATAATAAAACTGTGACATGTCACATCAAAGGAACTATAGGAAATATTATTAGGGTACATTCACACTCTATATTTACTTAAAATGGCATTGAGCCGGTTACGACCTTTAAAAATATTATTATAAAAATAATATTATATTACGAATATTTTTTCCTTTTTTTAAAATTGTAGGAATGTATTGAATATTTTAGTAAATTGTTTTATAGTGCATTAAATAAGTTCGTGTTTTAAACTAATAATAGTAATGTTTTTAGTGTTACGATATTTGACCAGATATACATAAAAAATAACCTAATTAATGTAAAGGTATTAAAAACTGAACACAACTTTTATTTAAATAATATCGGATTATTTGCATTAATATGTAAAAATCATATTGAACTAATTGAACATAGTGTCGTTGCAATATTGGTCGTAGCTCGTCTTTAATTTTATCCATATTTTGTAGACTCAGGTAATGAGACATGCGATAGACGGAGAAAATTTTTGTTGAGGCTCCTTAAACATTTTTCTTTTAAAACCAACATTGTTGTTTATAGGATTGTACTTTACTTAAAAATTAAACAAAAAATAATTGATCTCAACAACATTATTTTATTTTTTATTCGAAGAGAAAATATTTGTATGGCTATAATACAAATAATTTAATCCAAGAATTCAACTGTGTATCTTAATTACAAGTACACCAAAATCATCCGTACAATATGTTATTTTAAAATGTACAGTTTATTGTCATTAAAGATACTATTAAATTATTTCAAAGATAGTCATAAAAGTGAAAAATATATGAATTTTAATCCATATATAAATAAAGTGCATTTTTAAAGTTCAAATATATTCCTATTTACGTAAAAGTTAAATATTTATCCAGTGGAAACGCCCCTTAAACGACGTCGAACCAATTATGTAATTATAATAACTGCAATCAACTGTGACAGTCTGTCTTATTCTCGACCACTTAATACACAGTAAGGGACCGTCTTTTATGAATAACAAGTCTACTTATTCTGAAAAATATACTATACTAGTTTTTGCCAGCGACTCCGTCCGCGTGAACATGAAAATTGCATTAAATGAGAAATGTATAAAGTGCATTATAGAAATTCATTTAGTAATCTACATTGCAGTCTTTTCATTTTAATTAACCTAGTTACCGAATGCAGCGCCATCTACTGGGCTATTTATTGAATCTAGATCATCTGGGGTAACTCACAAATGAATATATAAAAAATCATTCAAATCGGTCCAGCCGTTTAGAAGCAATTCAGTGACGTACACATGCATAGCGGGTATATATATAAATTTAAATGATTTCCAAAATTTAAATAAAATAATGTAATCGCAAACCGAAAATATGTAGTTAAATATTATAAAAACACATATCATCTTTCCTTCTTATGACAAATCAAAATTAATTAATATTTATTACTTAATATTGCTTCTATCAAATAATAGCTTAAGCATTGAAAATTATCTAACCTATTCACGGCTTAATCCACGTTTTTGGAAA